GTAATGTATCAGTAAAGTGTTGGTGATGTATCAGTAAAGTGTTGGTAATGTATCAGTGTAGTGTTGGTAATGTATCAGTGTAGTGTTGGTGATGTATCAGTAAAGTGTTGGTGATGTATCAGTGTAGTGTTGGTGATGTATCAGTAAAGTGTTGGTGATGTATCAGTAAAGTGTTGGTGATGTATCAGTAAAGTGTTGGTGATGTGTCAGTNAGTAAAGTGTTGGTGATGTGTCAGTAAAGTGTTGGTGATGTATCAGTGAAGTGTTGGTGATGTATCAGTAAAGTGTTGGTGATGTGTCAGTAAAGCGTTGATGATGTGTCAGTGTAGTGTTGATAATGTATCAGTGTAGTGTTGGTAATGTATCAGTGTAGTGTTGGTAATGTATCAGTGTAGTGTTGGTGATGTGTCAGTGTAGCGTTGATGATGTGTCAGTGTAGTGTTGGTAATGTGTCAGTGAAGTGTTAGTGATGTGTCAGTGTAGTGCTGGTGATGTGTCAGTGAATCGTTGGTAATGTCCATCATATTGACTCAATGCTTTAAAAAATAGGCGCTCAATAAGCCATGTGGCTACTGCCATAAGAAATTATTGTTATACAGGAAAGGAATGGAAGTTGGTAGCTGACTATCGAGATATATGAAGGATATATAGGTAATTGAAATAGCGGTGTTGCTGAAAAAAATTTAAATGTCGAAAGTAAAGGTTTGTATAGGTTTATTAAATGTTGATATTGATTAATTGGGCTTCCTGTGTTATACAGATTCACTTTGTGCAACTGTTGCATGACTGAAACAAAATGACGATCATATTTTGAGTAACGTTTTCCTCGTTTTCTCAATGAAAAGGCCACAATGTTCTCCCAGAATTAGACCAATTTTTCCCTTGAGGTCTCTTCTACTTCATAATATGATGTTAATATTAATAATATTATGTGATTAACAGGTATAAGTTTTGAAAATATGCTTTGTTTATTTACTTGATAGTTTATACGTGTGACAGTGTTTAATAATTTCACAAGCCGATGACAATAGTGCCTACTACTTTGTAGTAGGCACTAAAAACGACAAGGTATAAAATACAACAGTGCAAAGTACTATAATTTGTTATAAATATTAAGGAGATACTATCAATCCCACTATGGGGCTGAATTATCCTCTAAAAATCCTCTAAAAACTCTGCAAGTTTCTGTTTGTTTGTTTTTATTGAATTATTGTATATAAAAATAAGTTACGAGCTGTACACCAGTTGGTATATGCTAAAACAATTATTTGCCTCAGGCTCAGTGAATATGGAGAATATTTACCTCTCTGCTCAAAGACTTGCGTCTCGGTAAATATTCCCCGATATTCACTTCGCCTTCGGTGAATAATTGCTAAATATCCTATTATTTTTCAATGTTTAAGACAATTCTGCTTATTAGAACAATGTAAAAAATCGTTCTGTTTGTTTTGTGCTCAATTTTTATGACAGCTTGCACATGGTAGAACCTGAACAAAAAAGTTTTTTCATTGTCTATAATACTTTATTAAAACAACTTTTATCAGTATAAATGAATATAGTGTAAGTTACGTGTTTGGAAAAAAATTACTCATGTTTCTTCCTTAATTTTGGTTTTATGATTTTTTTTGTACAGAGCTTGATTTTCGCTATTATTCTTCCAAAATTGTACAAACGCATGTCATTCTGAAGTGATTATCCCAACAACAAGCTAGGGACACCACATTTTTCTTTGCATTTTTGAAATCAGCAATTTCAGGTGAAAAAAGTTTCAAATTTCAATTTTCTGTTTATTATTTACCAAAGTAGTCAGCCACCTTAAGCAGTATCATTGGCTAGGTATCATTGTTTTTATGAAAACTGACAGGTAGTAAAGTCAAATATGAAAAATATATTTATAGGGGCTAGTTACTGTGGAAAACGTCCAAGCCAAGTGTGATAAACGGAATTAATGGAAATGGCATAAAAGCTTACATTATTTTTTATTTAAAGTACGTTATTTGGTACTTCATCATTTAAAAAGACAATTAGGACAATATGTTTTGATAGCGCAACTTAAATTAATAGTATGACATAATCACGAGAAAAACCCAAGGAACAAATTAAAGGAAGCATATATTTGATAGTTTTGATAGTCTCCATTTTGATTACCAATAAAACTCGGCACTACCTTCAAATGGTGTATCTGGAGGGCCAGCTATTTCACCGCGTAGTCTTGTACAAGAATTATCAACCAGTTCAACTTTTATCTTGCATTGAAGCGCCTGTGATTCAATTCAAAAAACATCAGAATAAATTGTTTTAAATGTAGTAAAAATAAAGGATCCAAAAAAAGAAGTACACTTAACAATAACACGTGAAAGAATACAGAGCGGTAAAGACAGCAAGTTTAAGTTACATTTTGAGCTTTGCAGTCAAATAAGAACTTGAAATTGCATACATTACCAACCTCTTCGCTACTGATAATTTCCTTGAATTCTCTCTGTATTCTAGATACTGCAATATTAGTCATATCTAAAGGTGTTATATCAGTTACAATCCAGATTTTTTTTGAATTTCCAGGGTATACTGTGCAATCATTTCCCTTCTCAGTCAGGAAATGCTAGACCACTAGATCGTATTGCATTGTGGGTACTAGTTTCACCACAGGAAGCCCAAGGTACCGGCTTAAGCCTGCAGGCGTTTTCAATCACTTTATAGTTATTAACAGACATTACGCACTTTGATTTATTTTATAGACACTTCATATATTTTTTTTACATTTTAGGACCACTCTTTCAGACATCGACTGAAGCGTCGTATGGCAGCGCGGAGCATTTACAGCTAATGTCGGATATTTTTACCAGTTTAATATAAAACGAAGTTAACAGGGTGGGGCTCATTAACATCAATTTAGACAAAACTAATGCTCCTATCATTGAAAGTCTAAGAATTAAACCAAAAGTTTATTTTATAAGCCCGGCGTTAGCAATAACCAAATTCCTACAAATTTTAAAACAATTATTGTGGTATTCTAAGGCCTATTTCTAAGCGTGATAACGAATATAAACCAATTTTTACTAACAGCTACATAATTTACGATTCGTGAGCTATTTGTCATAGCTGGCCTGGGAAAGCCTAAAATTTCACATTTTTAATTGTATCCCACAATCCCCCGGAAAAGCAAGCAGTGACGTAATCGCGTCATAAGGAGGAAGAGAGAACCAGCCCTTTAGAGCAGAGACTGGGGTACGGAGCAGGGAGAAACAACGAAAAGATATAAAGAGACACCATGTAGAAGCTAGAGTATCCTGGTGATAGGGTTACCATCCTTACTTGTAAAGGGCCCTTAAGCTAAAAAGATTTAAAAACGCAAATGAAAAGTCACGTTGTGTTCGATTGCGCTATCGGACGGCATCAATCCTGGCTGCCTGTCAATTTCAATAAAGAAMTTAAATAGATATAGCAAAATATTTAACTGAAAAATGTTTAGTTCTTATAGAACACATAGTATGTTCTTCATTTCGTCGCTGACAGCGCATCCTTCAAGCTTCCATCTCAAAGCTCCGAAGTCTGTTTCCTCAAGCACCGTTCTTTTCTCTTCTTGATACTCGGAGGTGTTGTTCAAGAAGCTGTACAGATACCTCTCGGAGAAGGCTGCTATAGCCAGAAACATATTAAGTGTTACATTTTTACACATTTTTTCAATACCAAGTGAATGAAGGATTTCGTTAACCTGTTGGACCGAGATACTTTGCGCGTACAATTCTCGCAGTGCTTTTAGTAATTCTCGGTGATTTACATTCCCATCTTTATCCTTGTCATTCTTCATGAAGTAATGTCTAAAAAGTGTTTTTCTTCGGCTGTTAATTCGACAGTAGTTTGAAACGTATTCTAGTGGTGTAAGCTTCTCTAACAGTTTCATGTCCATGGGTAACTCAAAACGACATCCTTTTCTAGAGAGAGATAATGGCCCCTGAAGCCAAGCTTTAGTATTGTCTGCTCTGGTTCTTTTTGATTCATCCTCTTTCAAGCGACCGATTGTTTTGAGGTCCTCGGTAGATGAAGAATCTTGCGGGGACTCATGAGCTTTAGCCGAGGACTGGTACGATACACTGGACAAAGTGCGAACGACTTCACGCATTCTGTGGACTGAAATTGAATACACTGTTACTGACAATAACTTGTTGAGAGCTCCTGTCGAGCTTTAAATTGACCGCTTGAAATAGAATCATTTGTATATAAATTGATAAGCAATTCTAAGCATGACTTGTTTCCTTAGTAATACCGCTCGAAATTAAATGATGCTTTTTGTCCGAGTTTGTACCGTAATTGCTTGTAGTCAGGGACAGCCAACCTTTTCTATATATCTTCTTATTTCTTGTACTCTACCACTGAGCTGTATTAAACGACGTATGAAATGATCCGAATGGATATTCTCACTTTTGGCTACTTTTTACGCGGTCCTTGCTGTCCTTGCCGTATCAACCAAAGTAATACAGAGAAGCGGATTTATTTTCTTATTGGTACTGAATAAGTGCTTTCTTGATCCACTTTTCATTGTAAATAGACAGTCATGTTTTTAATGACGTCACAAACCTGACATAAAAATATCCTGAACCTTCATTTTTTGCCATTATTTTCATGTAGTGAGCTTTTGAACGACTATTAAGGATTTATTTTGAAGTGTATTTAAAGCCATGGGCCTGAAATTCGTACTTTTCAAAGAATCCTTTTCTTTAATTATTTCGGTAAGTTCTTTTGTATCTACCAACATTGACACTTTAATCCATATTTGAATTACAAATAACCTGCTAACTAAACTTTAAGTTTAGTTATTACAATCCTGTGTTGCTGGAATAGCTATACTCACAACGACCAATCGGCGTAGCGCATGTAATTTCGAGGAATATGATTGGTTGTGCGGTACTGTCTAAAAATAGCTCACTCCCGAAACGAGTCAGACGCCACCTTTACTGGACACTTCTAGTTAAGGAGTTCTGGCGCAAGCCATCATTTGGCTGATGAAGGCCATTGGCAGTGGTTGAAACGTCTACCATTATTAATATCAGAGACAAACCAAATATGATATCATGAATCCTGATTAAATATTATTTAAGAATCAATTACAATATGAGGAATTTCGAGAAAGAAAAACAACAAAGTCTCGATTACTTTGAATTGAAAAAAGAAGAAAAGATTGAGTAGGCATTTTCAGGTCACCCATCCTCCAGGTACTGACCTCGCTTATCAGGGCTTGACTCGGTGTTTTGCAAGCCCATTTCCTTGCCATTATCACAACAATAGTCGTTAGAACAATACAAGATATAGACTAGACTTTTCAACATCAAGTTTTCCATTGATTCCGTGCGTGGCAGAGTGCAAGGGATTAGCTGTAGATATGGTCTGGGGGCCGGCTAGTCTCAACCCGGATACTTCGGCTAGAACACTATCCTGCGTAATCCGTACAAACAAGGGCAGGAGGACTCAATTGCCGTCAGGTCCAAAGTCCATACGACGCCTCAGACCTGCGTATGTCTCGAGGGTATGGCACGCAGTGGGGAATCGTTTATTTTCGTGAATGAATTAGTGAATTTTTGCTGGTAGATATTCGAATCCCGACGTATCCGAATAGGAGTTTTTTCTGTTTATTAATTTATCTTTTCACATTTAATATACTTTTAAGATATATTCCAACCCTAATAGTGTTAATCTTTAACCGTTAAACTTTTTAGCGCCAGTGAAAATGAAATACCTTTGAATCATCTACCGTAGGATCCCAGGGCGCATGCCTTAGGGACAGATGGTAATGAGGTCGTTGTGTAGACGGAGAACCGAAATAGAGATAGAATGGAGCGTTGAGGTATTCCATGTGTCGTGGAAGTGGAAGTGATGAAATTGCTGTTGCAATCTCGACGTCATTGGGACTGTGCGATAGATAGCTTTTGAACCAATCGTAAACATTTGAGGAAGCAGCATTGGACATCTTTTGAAGAAGAATATCATGTTGAACACTGTCAACGGCTTTAGATAAATTTAATAGAAACAAAACAGAGAGAGATGTGCTTAGTGTCCTTATGTCAGCAACGGCGATATTTACTGTTTTCTTAGAAAGTGAACTTGTGCTTTGTGGAGAGAGGACGTACAAAAACACTTGTGGATGGCATTACTGATGTAATCATCTTTCTAATGTCATCTGGCGTAATAGGACTAAACTCAAAGTTGTTGCTGGGTGTATAGCAGGAAGGATAGCTGTCGTTAATGGCAAACCATGTTTATCTGCAAGTTGTTCAATCTTATCAGATATTGTTTGAAGTAAAAAAACGCGTTTAATTCTTCAGTTTGGAATGTCTTTGATCATCATCATCTGTTGCTGTCGTGTTACAACCACATAGCGCCGATAGATCGAAAAGTCTGCATCTTGGCCTTTTTTTACCTAAACACAATAATCAATGTGGGATGCCTGTACCACAACAATGTGCGACGCCAGACCGAACATCGTACGCATGCTCAAATTATATTTTCTTAAATAACACTACGTTTTGCCTCAATACCATCACTCCCATCCAGCTCGTGGTTGTATGGACGATACCGGCAAACACGCTCCCTCATGTTGTAAACATTATTATAAAATAACTGTTATGAATGTCGCGTTCTAATTGGTTTGGAGCGCGTGCTTTATGAGAGCACTTTACACGCGCGCGCATTTTCAGTTTCGTCATTTCTATCCAAAAAAAACGGTTATTGAAATTTGTATTTCATAAAAGAAAAAAAAAACTTGCTTGCTGTGCTGTTTTCAGTTATAAAGTACTCAGGGATTGGCATAACTCTCGAGAAGTGTCAAGAAGCATTCCGCTGCGCGTCGTGTTTCTCCTAAAACACTTCTCTCGTGTTCTGCCAATCCCCGCGTGCTTCATAACTGCACACAGCACGCGCGCGCGTTTTCTATTTCTTCACTAAAATCACTCTTCTACTTTTGCACTACCAAGTTCCTATAGCTTCTACGACACCATCATTACACTACTATGACTGCTTCTATTAAAAAACAGCATTTTTAAACCGATAGAGCGTGTGGCATGTCCGGTCGATAATAGAGTGATCCTAACCATCTTACCATGTCTAGAAATACATGTATGTATGTTTACTGACTGAGAGCTTCAGGATCAAAAGGTCGCCAGATATCTAACATATCTAGACAAGTACTTTGAGTCTCAGATCTTAAGCTTGTCCTTGATTGAACGAACAATTACTGCTATGTCAGTATAGGATTTAGAATGGGAAGAGAATACTATCCGCGGCAACCAGCACTGTTATTGTCTTCTGTCACCGTCCGCAAACAACACTGAAGATAGAAAAACAATACCAAAATCAGTAAGTTTTTAGTCCTTCTGACTAGTTGATTAACTAGTACATCTTATCATACCTGCTTTACACCAGCGATTATCACTTTATTCGGTTAAGTATCGTATCTGACTTTTCTAAACCAGAATGCTACGACAAACAAGCATGTATATGAAGTAGGCTTTTACATTATGGAATCTTTGCTATCTTTGCTTAGGAACGTTGTTAAACTGAAGTATGGTGTACCATAGTTAATAGTCTATGTGTGTACCTACCTACTTTGTTTTTACACCAAACTGCTACGATACTGAAACTATTTCAAACTTGATTAACGTCCTTTATCTCAAGATCTGGGGTTTCCGGCAGTGAAGGGGACTAACTTGATTGAAAAGAAATACGTAGCGAAGAATCTCGAGTCAACAAATGGATGACCGACTTCACGATGTATTGTCCCGATTAAAGAAGACGACATGCATGTATATTAACGCTAAAATTAGCTTAAAAAAATTTTGCGTAGAATCCCTACAGCATCTACTATCATGTCCTTTTAGTCTTCCATCGCTTCGAAGGCTTTTTTTATCAGACCAATTTGATGGTGAAACGTTTAGTAGACAACTATAATAATAATAATAATAATAATAATTTAATGATTTGTATAGCACACCTAGTACGTGAGTATACTGAGGCGCTTAACATTAAGAGAAAACATTAAATAATAACATTAGATAAACATATATGCAAAAGTTATTTCAAGAAATTTAAATATATAAGATAAGATATATAAGTACTTGAAAATAAATCTGATATAAATATTAATAAATAATACTAATATAAACAATTAATATTCGATGTAAAATCAATGTTCATATTTAGCAAATGATAAATATCTAAAAATCATTTATATTCAATGTAAAAGTCAATGTTCATATTCAGTAAGTATGATCTATATTTTATGATTTATAAACTATAAGCAGATTTAAATAGATGAGTTTATAAACTTGTGTTAAAACTGCTAATTATCTACGTAACGAACAAGCTTGTGAGGCATTCATCCCCCCACCCTTTTAAGATCTTCGGAACTCCGCCTTTTTTGCGTCATTCTTTCCATTTGGCAGACTTAGGGTCAATGTTTTCATCGGAAAAGATAAAACATAATCTATTGTTTTTGAACTTTAGAAGTCTAGATACACTTTAAATAATCCTCTTCATCCAGTCGATATAACCGACAATGACATATTTTAATTCAGCTTGCTTTTAAGCTTTCGAAAATGGCAAACAATTGAATTCGAAAATTTGATGATGTACAAAGCTTAGAGCATGCACCTAAGTTTTACTCCTTTACATGGAACCGCTTGCATTGGAAGGCAAGTTTTTGTAACTACTGCCTCCTGGGAAGGCGTAGCTACTCATGTGCCATCAGGTATGTAAGTAATGTAAATAATTAAATGGACATATTTTCGGTTTCACTCAGAATTGTTTGGGTCCAATCGCACGCGTTTGTAACGTGTTTTGTGATCAAGAGGATACAATGGTTAAAAACGCACTGCGCATGCTCTGAAATCCGGCTCGTAGACGTAGTCACGTCGTGTTTGAAATCGAGTTTTTAACTGAGACTCTTTCAAGTGTACTATCTCTTTTTAAATCGTGGATACGCGAAGCGTAGAAACGAGTTATTGTGAGGGGTCTGAATATGCAAATGTGTCACTCACTCGCTCATTCCCTAGCTGTAGAGCCCAGTCTCCAGTCGTCTCGTTGCTCCGCGCTAGGTTCCATTCCATTAAGATTTTATTTTGTTCCCCGAAACATTGTTGTGTTCTGCGAGATTTTATTTTGTTTCCCGTCTTCAATTGAATTTTGTTTTGCCCTTGTGGGCCAGCGTAGATTACGAACGTTGTACGACACTAACAAGCACAAAGCTCTATTCAGTATAGATTACTTTCGTCTGTTTCATGTGGGATATTTCTAGCACTGTGGACCCACTGTGCACTGTGCACTGCGCACACTCGCACTTAGTTTTATCTTCGGATTATTCAYATCAAAAGAATAAAGGAAAGATGCAAAGTTGAAGTAAAAAATTACGATTAACACCCAAGTTAACCCAGGGAGGGGTGCACCCCTTAGAATCAAAGGCAAAAAAACATGAAAAAATGAACTGCTGCTTAGAATCAAAGGCAAAAAACAGTATTGGTTATCTTCGAAGTAGGAGCACAAAGTGTGCACGTGAGCACCCCCGGTATAATAAAGAACTAAACGAAGTAGGTGTTAAAAGGAAAATAAAAGGACGACTCATCATCTTACCAGCTAAATTGAGTCTTCGAGGGCCTCGGTAAATATTACCCAATAAGGCAATATAAATACACAGGTGATTCTTATAAGAAAAACTTTTTCCGGTAACAGCAACAAAGCGGCAGGCCGCAATTTTGGATTTTCGCTCGAGGTGATTATCGTGTGATAGTGTGAGTTTCTTGACCAATCAGCGCGCGAGATTTTCTATAATCACCTGTGTATTTTACTAAAAAGCGTATATTGTGTAAAGCGTATATTAAATGCTTGTACACTATACAGAATATACTATTAATGTATACTCTGTATATATATATAGAATATACAGTATATTTTGTATATAAATATACACTTTATATATATATATATATATAAATATATAAATATACACTTTATATATATATATATATATATACACACACCTAATTGAAAAAACGTTGTCGGGTTCAAAAAAAAGGTTATATCATCAAAGCTAAGACCGAAGGGGAGCATGGGAAGACAGACAATTATGCGTATTGCAGTTTTCCCTTCCTGTGCACACTTTTGCATGTTGTAAATCTACGTCGACCGACTTTACTCTACTGTCTATATGCAACACCCCGGCCTGCTCTCAGTCTGACCTCTAGCTCAGCTGGTAGAGTATCGGTAGTACAATTCCGAAGGTCGTGGGTTCGATTCCCAGCGAGGTCGGAAATTAATTTTTCCGAATTTAATTCCAAGGGCTTTCGCCCGGAATAACCTCGTTCCCAAGCACTATAACTTATCTATATTTCTATATCTTCATGTCTATATGCAAATATAATATACATTTCGGAGTACCAAAAATCCTTTTCGGTCTTAGCTTCGATGATATGACCTTCTCGAACCCGACTAAGTTTTTTCAATTAGGTGTAAATAGATAGAATAGAATAACAACAGGGTAGTCCAGTCAGTAGCAAAATGCCTCTGCCATCAAAAGAAGCCCTGTATAAATATAGTATATTCTGTATATTGTGCAGTACCGCGCCTCACTCACAATTGGGCGTTCCAGTACGACAGTACGACTACTTCTTATACAATTTATAAATATGCTTTACTTTGATGCAAGACACGTCAAGTTCAAAAGGTTTTTTAGGTCGGATATCAATTAAGTATTTTTATTTTTATTTTTTTATTTTTTTGGCCTACAAATTCTCTAATATATATTTAATAACATCTCATTGCGCTCAAATCCTATTATATATATATATAAAATAGAAATTTGTAAGTTTTTTTAATCCTGCCTGGCAGTTAACTCAAGTCTTTTGTCGTTTTCCTTGGTGATCATGATATTACTTATAAATATGGTCCCATAATGCTCTGGGCTAGAACATTTTCTTACCTTAATTGCCGTCATGTCCGAAGTCCCGATACAAGGCCTCTATTCTGCGAGTGTCTCGGGGGTATGGCACAGTGTAATCGATTTTTTGGGTTTCAAGATTTTTTCTAGATGCTTTTGACAATATCTTYTTAGGTAAAATTTTTAATTCTTTTTTCCTCATATTCAGGAAAAACCGTTAAATAAACAATGTCGATTGAAAAAATCAAGTGAGTTTCCTCATTTGAAATGCTGCCTGGGAATAGTTTGATGGCAAAAGCTTTTACTCCACTTGGTACTGCGACTAAGCCGCATGTCTACCCAAAGGGGCCAGCATTTCCCCGTTCTTCCCGCGCACAAGTACGTATCCACCTCACCTTGTTTCTGCTCAGACTTATAGAAAAAGAGTGCTGTAATATCCCTAGATAAAAAAATAAAAAAACTACCTGGTATTTTCTAAGTATATCAGAAGAGAGAAGAGAGTCGTTAGTGTTCTGTGTCGAGGAAACACGTCAGATTCAAATCTGTTAAGCTGAGGACAATTCAGTGTCGTAATGTCAGCCCTCAACCATTGTCTTTGCAGAAAACGTTTTGTTTGATGGTTTCGTCTGACAGCAGCGTGTCACATCGAAATTATTTCCATTCAAAATTGTAAACCGCAGCTAAAAAAAATCCAAAGCTAAGATTGATGGAAGGTAAATGGAGCTACACACTCAGACCCTGTGCTCACGTATACGTTTTCATTTGTAAACGCATACTTTTTGATGCGTCCACACGTAAACGTGTCACTAGTCCATAACGAGCGAGAAAAAACAATATCGAGAAAATGTTTGCAGTTCTCACTGAACGTTTGATTATTCCAAGGACTTTATTGGTTTTGGTTGTAGTGATATTAGTGATGTGATTTCCCCAGGATAGATCTCGTGAAAACAAACAAAACATTTGACATTTGTGTCGTCGCATGACTTGAAATCTTAATTCATTAGAGCTATTGCTTTTCTTCTTTCGATGCATGTATACGAAGTTTTTCTTGTTATTTTTTCCTTTCTTCTAGCACATTTTCTTGTTGTTTTTTTTCCACCGTCTTTTTTCTAGTTTTGCCATTGAAGAGTGCATATTATTATTTTTTTACTGATATAATATATTGCTACTCGACTCTCGACTCTCGACCTTCTACCTTCGACCAAAAACCAGACTCATGCTGACCAGAATAGTAATAACTAAATGCAAAGCGGCTGAGCTTAATATGTAATAAATTAAGGTAGCAGAGTCTGAGTAAATTGAGTCTGGAACATTCTGCCACAGGAAACCCGCTTGATAACGATAGTTGCATTCCAACAATTCTCGCCTCCTGTACTGGTACTACGGTCTACTACACCTCACTCAGCTCTTTAGTGGTATTAAAAACCAAAGGATATTTGCTTGTTCAAATGCAACAATCAGTCTTTTATCCTGCTGATTTTTCCGGAAACTCTAACTGGGCCCAATTTCATAGAGTTGTCAACCATGCAATCACGTTTTGACTGAGTGACAATTAAGTGGAGCCAATCAGCAGAGCACAATCAGGAATTTGGAATGCTTCGTTTTCGATCCACAATAATCCATATTTGCTGCTGCCTTTTAGCATTACGTAAAAATCCGTATTCAGTTCATTTCGATGCTTGCACATTATTCTAAGGCAAAGTTAAATAAAATAAGTCATCTTTCTTGAATCATGTGAAAACCGTACTCTGCCTCAAAACTTTCAAACTTTCTGACTAGTTAACATAGTTTGTAATTATCGTAAGCTTGTTATGTCTTTCCAGTCAACAAGTAATATTTTTTTGCAGCTCGTTTAGTCTTCCCTCCTACCCCATTATCTCATTAACACAAAGTTATCTTTGAATTTTCAAACAAACGAAAAAAAATTCAAAGAATTGTTTGATACTTGTAACTTCTCCGCCCTCAATGTCTTGATCGCCTTTCTTTAGGTGCTCAAGAGGGCTTTGTTGCTTTTTTTTAATTAAGTGAGTGTGAATAATTAGTGAAAATAGAAGCTCCGCCTTACTTTAATCTGTATACCTAGCCTCTTCTTCCTGTTGTTTATCTTACACTGCGTAAGTTGTAAAGCATCTGCGTAAATGATCTGTTGTTGTAATTAGTATTGTACTGACAGAAAAACGTTCGTGGCTCAGTTCCATCTCTTCCATCGTGCATACCTCCAACCCTTCTTGTGTGACAGCCAAACAAAGAACCGGAACTACATACTCTTCAATTTGATTTCTCACGCTGGCTATTACTGATCAGCTTTAAAATACTGTTATATTCCAAGCTCTCCTTGGGGGTATTTCAAAATCAGTTTGATTTGGTCTGTTGCAGATATTCAGATATAGATAACACGTTTACTACTCTACAATAAAACTCAAACGAAACGAAACGAATTGATGCACGACGCATCAATTGATCGTTAGCACTTTACACATTCAATCGCCTCAAAGAAGGTGCAAATGTCATCTCACTTGGGCTATTCAAGTAATTCCCGGAATAAATTCAGGCTTGATGATATTTTAAATTCATTATTTTGATCTCGACGGATTGCAAACCAGTTCTTGTTTGAAAGTAACTACAGTGAGAAGAAGATTCGGTCCTTTCTAAATTTGAAACTGTGAGATCCAGGGAGCTGAAGTTAAAAGAAAGACCTTCGTTCTGTACTAACACTATTGCATTAGCACAATATCAGGGTATGTTAACATTGTTTTCCAAAACGGAAATCTGTCACTGATTGATATTGGTCTCCCAAATACACAACTTAAGACTGAGTTCGTCAAAATATGATCTTTATTTTGTTGTTTTCCCTGCATAGCGTACAAGATGAATCGAGTATCAATGTTGGTACTGTTCGTAATGGCAACCTTAATCCGATGTCGAGGAACAACTATTGCAAGACGGCCTAACATGTCGAAAACTCCATTGCCATTACGTTCTTCCTTTCAAAACATATCAACTCAAGCTACTGTCAACGAAACGAGCAGAGTGAACCGGCCTTGCATTCAAGATACTCTTCTGCCTCCAAGCTTCAAAGGTTTGCGGAAAATTTGGTCAGAACATAAATATGTCTTGCAAATCAATGCCAATGGAGCAGTAAATGGTACATCTGACATGGCAAGTCCTTATGGTGAGTATTGAAAACACGCCGCAAGAAAAGAGCGGATTTTGTTATTTTTACTGTGGTCACTGTGACCTCAATTGAACGTCCCAGTGAGAATGTGCTACTGTTCCAGGCGGAGAATAGGGGTACTAGTAAGATATTTTATCATGTGTTTAGCATAAGTCGTAGTTCACTAAATGGAAGACGTACTCACGAATTATTATCTAGCATATTACGTTGCTATAGCAAAGAGAATACAACAGCATAACTTCTTGATAATAAAAAAAAAGAACAAACAAAAAGTTATCCAATTATATAGTTCAAACGAGAACACACTAGACAACTTTCTTTTACAACACACACTAATACTGAAGATCCCGAAATTCTGCATCAAAAATGATTGCAAAAAAAAAAAAAAAAAGCTAACTGTTCATAGTTTTGCTTGAGTTCATTATTAAGCTTTGCCAGTGGTGTCTCTTTGTGATTTCTAAGCTTTAAAAGTAAGAAAGACAGTATGTTTAGGAAGCATTTGACTAAGTAAACACTCGTAATGATAATCAGGTGGAACACTTAACACTTTTGAAGTCAATAAGTGTATCGACTATTTACCTAGAACAAGCACGATGTATATAACCGGCTCCAACTTAAAGCTGCTTTAAATTTMTTATTTTAATAGACTCAAGTTATTTGAAGTTCGAATGGTATTCAATTGTATTGCTTCAGGCCGGGGAACCACTAAGTTTCCGAACTGTTTGTCTTAAAATAAACCTGTTGAAGCCTACCTCATCACTAAATTTTCCCTCAGAAAACTGAATAATTAAAGTTAACGAAACTATATATTTGCCGAAAGAATGGATTGTAAATAGGTATTGCAGCTTTTGTTTTTATTTCCGATCTATGGAATTTGATAGTCTTGATTTTATTTTTTCTTAGTCGTGTTCATTCGGGAAACCTTGATTCTTGGATGTCTCAAAATACTTAGAACTATCCGGTTAATAAAATCCTCTGCTCGCAGGGTAAGCGTAAGTTTTGTTTGCAAATGTTTGAGGAAGTGGAAAAGCCAAGAGGAAAGAAGGAGGAGGAATAAATAATGAAAATAAAATCGTGGACTTCGAAACTACCGTCAAATGGGGATTGGGGGGGGGGGGGGCGGAAGTACTATATAAAGGATTACAAAGAGTTATAAACCACCCGGCAAACAAGATACTATACAATATAGCAGATAAACTGGCTATAAGATATAGTGTTGATCAGTGCTCACGACGTAGCTAAGTGGATATTGCATTATTCCGTACAGCTCAACTGGAATTGGAATCGCTCGGAAAAGGCTTATTTAGAGCAAAAGGAGTTACTGCAAAACGTTATCTTTCAATGGATCGCCTCGGAAGACTTTATACAAGGGTGAGTCAGTTGAATCAGTTCTCTATACATGTATTAGTCATTCCGGTTAGTGTGCCTTATGACCTATGACGTCCAGTTATAAGCCCTCTGGTTATAAGCCCGCTAGTCTGCTTACGCAAATATCCTTTAAAGCTTTAAGGCCCCCTGGTTATGAGTCCACTAATCTCATAACACAAATACCCTTCCAGTTATAAGTCCCACTGGTTATAAGCTCCCTATTCTGCTTACGCAAATATCCTTCCAGTTAAAAGCCCTCTGGTTATAAGCCCACCAGTTGCCAATGCAAACATCCATTTATTGAAGTGTGTCAAGCACTATACCCAATATCTTTGAATTATTATGACTAAAAGGAAGTATTTTGCTTTTTCTTTCGATGTCAGTGGAGTCGGCGCGTAAGATATTTTATAAGAGTTTGTGAATCATAAAAAAAATCAACGAACAACTGTTCCTCGTGCGACTTACTCGCCACAATACTCGGCATGTGTTATTCCTTCGAAGAAGCTCTGAAAACCTTTTTTAAAACATTTGTTATTATGCTTAGGTACTTAAGACTTTTTCATGATCATAAATATGTCATCACTTCTATGCATCTTCGGTTAGTCTTATTACTTTTCTTATTTTTGTGACAGAAAATCCCAAGCTTGGAGAGTGTATTCAAGAAGATTCCGGCAGATAAAGGATTTGTAGCATACAAAAACTATGTTCATTGCTGGTACATAGGACTTAAGAGAAATGGACAGCCAAAAAGAGGCAACAGAGTTCACAAAGATCAACATAGCGCGCATTTCCTTGAACTTCAAGGTAGCCATTAAACTGAACCGAGAGACTGGGTGAAACTCTTATCATCCAGACAATTCAGCAAAACGAAGACAAATTTATAATAACAATTATTAAGAAAGACTGAAAACCATTGATCCGTCTTTAACTGATAGCAAAACAACAACAACAACAGATAATTGGACTACAAAAAATATTACAACAATCATTCATGAACTAATAGAGGTTATATTCAAATTGCATATAATAGTAAAAAACCTGAAACATTCAACAGTACGGAATGTGTAAGTGTTACCACGGTCTATTTGCGTTGTTTAACGATAGTAAAAAAAGGAAAATTGAAGGTCGTTTTGTACAATTAATCAGAAATTAAAAAACTTCTATATCACGCTATTTAAAAACAATTTAAATACTGTAATGAATGTTAAGTCAAACGGGTTTTCCGAGACACTCTTACTTTAGCAAAGCGAATATATGTGTCCATATTTGTGGTGTTTTTAGAACACTGGGCCCGGATGTACGAAGTGTGGATAGCCAATAAGTAAATCTCGGTATGTATATAATAAAGTAATGTTGTTTCTTCTTAATCTCGTCAAGAATACGAAGGATATTCAGTGTTGCTTGTAGTCGACAAAGCCAATATCATAAACACCTTGGTTATTCATGTTGTGAAGAACGCCCAGAATTCCTTTTGGTCTTCCAATATCCTATGGACTATCGTTTATGGTCTCTCCTCATTGGCTCCGATAACCTATTCTTGATACAGGTGTTTTTTTAAAAAAAGAATAGGTGATAGATATGCGTTGCCCGGCCATGGCAAACAACGTTCCCGTTCCGCCGACAGTGGACGAAAGGAAGCCAGTCCCTACTACAGGCCCAATATTTAGTATGTGCATACGTTGTTGGTGTATCTAGTTACCGCAACAAGAAACAAAAAAACAAAAAAAAAACAAAAAAAAACAAAAACAAAACAAAACAAAACAAAACAAAACAAAATTGGCTGATATTAAAATAGAGAATTAGATGTATTCTATTCCAGTGGTTGCGTTTCTTCCCCCCAAAAAAGAAAGGCTCTGGCTAAACTTGTAAACATAAGAGATTGTAAAGGTATGGTGTCTTTCGTAAACTAAGTCTACACGTAACCCTGCACTGATGGCAGCATTTTGCACGGCTTTGGTCCTTCGCAAACAAAGGTAGCTTAGCGGTGAGTAGAAAAACGTTACAAGGAACGTTTTTATTCAGTTCTGTAAAAATCGTATATCTAAATTGAACAACTTGGAAGATCAGTGATATATTAATAAAGAAGCTTCTTATTTTGAACCAAAACAATAAAGCCAGGTGAAGTACGATACAATGTGTCCATTTCTCAGTATATTTCAGATATCAGTTCCACAGATAACTAGGCCTATGTTAATTGATGCTACGCAACATGGTCCAAGGCATTTCTAATACCCCATTCACACCAAGGTTCAAACATGTTTTAAAGTGGTTTAACTAAACAGGTTTGTAAAACTATCTACGAACACTGCACAATATTTGGTGAAATAATGCATGTAAACTATCCTTTGTCTTGCTCTGACAATATTTTACAAAGTTTCATTATATTGTAGGTTTCTAGTTTCTCAACTTCTTTCCTAATGAAAACACAGTTTAACTAAACACGTTTAGGTGTGAATGGGGTATAAGGTTTTCTCGGAAAATCAGTGGAACAAATGGTACACAAAAATCTATTTATATTCATACAATGATTGAGGATACAATGGTCGGTACAATGATTTAATGATACCAAATTAGTTTCCAATAATAAAATGTATCTTAAAACACTCATTAATAATTCATAAGCTTATGGTCCAATTTGAGCCACCATACACGTCACGTGCATGAACCTTTATACCCGATAAAGTCCTCTTCATTAGTATTCAAGTGATTTTATATAAAGACACATGTAATCTTTATATGAAGACCACTCGAATACTATGAGGATGACTTCATCAGGGATGAAGTATGCATCCAAGTTTAGATGAAGACATAGAGCTTCATCAAGGTCATAGTCAACCCTAAAGATCTTTGACTAACGTGCCTGTCTTTGCCTTGGCACGCAATATCCAACGTGTGGGAGCTTCTATTGAATCTGGTTGCGCATGCCCATGACGTCAAATCTCTATCGAAGTATAAAAATCCATGTTCGTGACGTGTATGGCGGCTCCAGTTGAACCAAAATCTTATAAATTGTTCATGAGTGTTTTAAGCAGTTCAAAAAACTCGTAGATCGTGTTTTATCAGGTATAAAAGCACTCCGCTACGCCTCTTGCTTTTATACCTGATAAAACACTCCTACTCGTTTTTTAAAAACTACTTAAAAACTTTTATTGTTATCTGACTAGTAAAGTTTTTCGATTGAATATTTGCTATTACGTATACTTATTTCTTATTTTATAAAAAGTAAAAATACTGATATGGATAAAAATGAAGTTTTCGAATGACTGTGAAAAGCTTGCCGAGCGAACGACACGGCAAGGCATACCCCAGACCAATCACGTTACGCAAAGATTCATTACTCTCTCTCCAA